GAGACCCATGGCCAAACGAATCCTACACGTTCTGTATAGAAATGAATAACGCTAGCTGTTTACTTTAGATTTCTCACCATTAGGAGTCTTGCAAATCGCGCCGTCTCTCAACATGTAGCCATCTTTTATATTCTCGAAATTCTGATTCCTTAATTTGCATCTCGCTTATTTCATACCCAATTCTCCTGGCATTTTTGCATTTATACAAATGTGTCTTCGAACAACTGCGTAATATAAAACCAGCGGATGATAGAGCCAGTTAAAATGCTCAAAACCATGATACCTTGAAATCAAAAGATAAACAATTTCTCTTCTGCCGCGGAGGTTCATCTTTTCCTTGCGGTATGCAAGAGCGTGATCACAGCAAGATTTTAATTAGTCAATTTAGGATGTGCAAATGGAGCGAAACCATTAACTGAAGAAAAGACGAATAGGCAAGTGGAGTGCTCAGTCTCCCATCGTTGTCCTTCAACGCATGAATGTGTTGGTTTGCCTTCCAATGGTGAGATTGTGCACCGCTGCTGTCCAACGAAAGGTTCGCCAGCTCGCTCATTTGTAATCTAAAAATTTGTAGTTAGCTCTTCAAATATTGCATACTAATTTAGTTTAAAAAGAAATGCTAAATTAGTTTAAATTATTTAAATTTGCTCTAAAATGTGCTGTAGATGTATTTTAATACCTTTGAATTATCCAAAGAGAAGGCTCAGTTTTGATTTAGCACTGTCGAAGATGTCCATGAATGCGCTTCCTTTTTGAGCTTCAACAACCTCTCATTTCTAATTCTGTTCTAGACATTTATGATTTATTTTGAAGGTTACCTTTAACTTATTGGCCGCGAAAGCTTGGGACATAAAATCGTCAACTTAATTGGGCTCAGCGTAACATAAGTAACACTATCTGACACGTTTCCGACGTTACACAACAGTAAACTAATTGAGCCAATACCAATAGAGTTTCACGCCAACACTAAGCCCATCCACAATATTGTTCTATTCGTAATGGAAAAAAAAGATATATTAGATCCGTTTTTGAATGCAAATCCAGTTTCAAGCTCGGCCATCAAGCCTAAGCCTAGCTTAGTGAGGCTTAAGAATGATTTTGAAATAAAAACGTTTCCTGGGACATCCTGTACATCACCCCGTGCTTCATATGTTTGTGCAATTTTGCAGAATTGCAAGTGCTCTTAGTAAATGGTGAAAGTAGATCAGAGACCCTGAAGAAATAATTGACATTTGAAAGTGTAGCTTTATTTAGAAGAAAAATTAGTTTGTGTTTGAACACTAGTAACAATACCAATAAAGCTAAGAAGTCAAAGCATGGCAAATCTAGTAAAAAAGCCGAAGGTACGGAAACTGGTGATTCTTAGAGAAAGATTTTAAAGAAAGGCCAAAGTATCTTTATATCTAACTAGGAACTTCATATTTCAGCATTTATATGCAGCCAGGCGCCACAGCAAGGAAGTCAGTGTTCAATGGTTTCCATAACCCGGTACTACTTCAACCTTGTGACTAGGCAGTGCACAACATTCCAGTACAATGGTTGCAAAGGTAATCAGAACAACTTTGCGAACAAAGAGCAGTGTCAAGACTTCTGTTTGAGTGCAGGTTGGTCTTTAACATATCCACATCAAAGTTTTGTTCTAGAAGTTGTTTTTATAGGTTGCGAGGCTGGAGAGATCGTCATCAAGGAGCCTGGAACATCGCGTCCTCTTTACTGTGACATCGAAATGAAGAACAGCTGCCCTAGCACTGCGCAGTGTCGTTTCAATAATCTTCTATCGACATCAGTCTGTTGCGGATTTCAAGCAACAGGTATGCCACTTTCTTGGTTTTTCTGAAGAAAAGCTAGTACAAAATGAAAAAGAAAAGCATCTGCAGATGCCTCCACCTTACATTTGGCAAAC